TTGGACATAAGGGAACTCGTGGTTAATGAGAAAGACGCCCTGAGCTCCTTCACTCGCTGCTAAGAGTGAATTGCGTATTGCCTGCTCTTCTGATCGGACGTGGATCACTGGGAGGATGGCTGGACCTGTTGTCTTGAAGAGTCTATGGAAAGCTCCTTTCTCCATTTTATACAAAAGGCGTTTGTGGGTGTGGCTCAGTGCAAGCTGTAGCTGTAGCTGTACTTAGTCTGTACTGTACACAATCTACACATTTACTGGCTAATAATAAATACAGGCACAATAACTATAAATTTATAGCAATTAGTATTTTAGTAGTAAAACTGTGGCCGTTCTGCTTTCCATTCTTTTTGCTCCGCTGACGTCATAGCCTAAAATGCAAACTTCAATCAAAAAATGATAATGCCTATTTTGAACCTCTTTTTCTGGATCTGAGTAAAGATGTATCTTGTCTTCATCTAAATACTCCTGCAAAATTTTACTTTAAACTTAATTTGTGGCTTGATTCTTTACAACTAACATTTTCATTGTTATATTCTTCAAACTGATAGTCTGCTTCTTCCATCCTCTTCCTTTTACTCTGTGATTATTTGTTTTTATTTCACTGAATATAAAATTAATAAAATATTTCCTAACCTGTCTTTTAAAGTAAATAGCTCCAAACACTATAAGAGTACCTACAGTTCCAAGTGCTATAATTATGCAGACTGGAACAAGAACAGTGACAATTACTACAGTGGACTCCCCTTGGTCTAAAATAAATTATAATAGAGTCTAGTATGTACATATTATAATTCTCACCATTATCAATTGCACTAACTGTAACGTTAGCCTCATTTGATTCAATGCTTAACCCTGCTTCATTAATCCCTGATACCTGGCAATATTATACACAACCTCATCAATCCATGCTATCATATTTTCTAACTCTCACTTTGAAAAGGTGATTTCCTGGACCTGAGACTTCTATGTTCTTTATAATCAGTCCAGTAGTGCCCTGACCTCCCTCTTCAACTGTTACTGTAGTATTCATCTATTCATTTATAACGTAATATGAATCATACATATTGTATTAATTTAATTACCCAGTTTTGTTGCTGCTCCTCTTTATGGTAAATGGTGTAGTTAATGCTGTTCCTGCTATTCAAGCAGTCAGGAGGCAGCCATTCCAACTCAACAGTGTACGTATTGGATTTAGGAGTAATGTCCCTCCCCTTTAGACTTTTTGGTGGACTTGGAACTATGAAATGATTACAATGACTTGCTACTATATTGTGATCACTTACCATCTGCATTATTCCTTATGTCATATGGCTCTTTATATATAATCTTACCACTCTGGTATCCAGCACTGATGCGCACTTGAAGGGCCTCATTAAACAAGAGATCACTTATAACAAGCCCAGGCTGGGATAGATAAGTATGCTGCACTGTTGTTCCATTATTATATTCCAATGATGCATTATAATGCAATTCAAGACCAGTATCATTACTGAGACTATTCCAATCAACATTAACATCTGCTGTGCATGAAATAGAGGTCCTTAGGTCTAAAGGAGGGAGAACAGTAACTGGAGCAGAGAAGGTATGCTCTTTATTGTTGTTGCATTCATCTGTTGCTATTAGAGTCCAGTTTATTTCTTGACCGGTTGTGTTTAGTAAATCATTCAAATTGTCAAACTTTATGTGAGCATGCTGACTGTTACGAATGGAGCTTTTCGTTGGTAGACTCTGACGGAGTGAAACATTATTAGATTGAAGGACCCATTGTGTAAGCAATGGAACAGGCTGTATTCTCTCTGTCAGGAGTGAGTACTGATATTCAAATACAGTTTCCCCATCAGGAGATAATAAGATTGATTCAGAGTCAATCAATGGCATCAGGGATACGTCTGACTTAGGAAATGATACTGTTTTAGATGATATTATCTCTTTAAACTCAATGCCCCCAATGTCAGTCCCCTCTACTTGATAAAACAATGGCGAGGCTGTCTTTGGTACAGTAAAGCTACCTATGATGGCATCACTGCACTTTGATAGCTCAGCCTTCTCTCCTTCAATGGTACCGTTGACATGAACCAGTTCAAGTGAAAGTGATTTATTGAAATCTATCTTTGCTAGCTGTGCAGTCTGAAGAATGACACTTACTGTATCACCTACAAATAAAGCATATTTTAAAAATACATTGTATATAGATGCACCCTATTAGTGTTTTTTCTTACATGAATAAGGAGGATCTGATGTTGGGTGCAGTTTTTGTGCTTGTTCATCAGAAACAACATAGTTCACATCAATTTCAACATCCATGTCAACCGAGAGAGAAAAGTCTATTACATCACCTGCA